ACAACTTTGAGTGGAAAAAAGAAGAGGATGGAAAAATTCCTGCTAAGATCTACACACATTCAAAGTTTTGTGAGCATTTTAAATTGGACCCTGCTCTCATGCCAGTCTTTGCTTCAATAGCAGGAAATGATTATTCAAACTTAGAAGACAATGACATTTTTGCAAATAAATCATCTTCACCTGGTGAGTCCAGCATTAAAAGACTGGATGGTATGCTCCGCTTTTTAAGTGAAGTGAACCTGGATGGCTTGAATGATTCACGGAAGAGAGAACGTGCTCTGAATGAAGCTTTAAAGTATGTTGGAAAAAAAGAGAACCAAACATTCAAATTCGCCATTGAAAGATATGTTGAACCAGAAAAAAACAAAAAACAACCAAGTTCTAAGTTGCCACCATGGGTGTGTAAAAAAGTTGAGCACGGAGAACTCACCAGTTTCGCCACAAGTGTTGTGGGTCAGAGGACAATGATGCTGACCCCACTTGTGGAGGACTTTTCACAGCGCAGTAGTTATCAAGCTGCTTACCGCATCAGACAGTACTTCTATGGACTGTTAACAGGAGATAAGATTACTGAATATGACAGGAATGGAGAAAATATCAAACACTACCATGTCCGACCAATACCTCCCAGCAGTCATGAACAGAAACAACTGAAACTACAGTGTCTGACAGAGGTACTGAGGTTAATCATTAAATATGTGTTTAATTACTCTGACAGGTAGACATGTTTCTGTGGTACATGTAAGCATATTGTCTGTGTAGTACCTCTCTATGCAGGATGAGCGTCGCAGGGTGTTTGAAGAAGCTCTGGAGGTTCAGACTTCAGTCTTAGAAAACATCCCCAACCAGCTGAAGCTGCCAGTCTATGTGACTGTTTTCTGGTTCAAGAGTCTACAACAGCACCACTGCCTCCATGCCCTCCTGCTGTGGTTTGTGTGTAAGCCCGATGGTCCAGGTTAGTCTCACGGGGTAACATGATGAATATTAACAATGAAATATAGCTACAGGTCACTTTATATATTCCATATATTCTACTCGGATGAAACTTTTACAGTTTCAGCTCCATAAATGTGATTATTCTGTTTATTATTTACAGTCACCTGTCAGCAGGTTAGTCTCTCTGAAAGCAGTCAGCAGATGGACTGTAGTCAGTTCCTGTAGTCAGAGTGTGACAGTAGCAGCACTGATGCTTCCACATGAGCCT